TGCCAGCCTTTAAAGCCATTTTTAGGCTTTAGTTTTAAGCTTTAGTCCTGCTGGGCCGCGGGGCGGGGCAGGAGGTCGCCCATGAGCACGAGGGGCTCAGGCCTGTCACCCCAATGACTCCAGAGGCTGAGCGCTCTGTGTCAGCCAGCCCCAACTAACTACCAAGAATAAGCCGGAAGGAGAGCTGTGGCTCAGGTGGCAGAGCACTAGACTTGTACTTTAACAAAAAGCCCACCTGAGGGACAGCCACTGAGCACAAGCATCGGGGAGCAGCAAAGAGCAAAGCGAACGCACACTTCGATGTGCACCCCGCACTCCAGAAAAACAGCACAAAAAGGCATTTCCGTCTGCGCTGGCCATGTCTGTCCTGGAGCCGGAAGTCTGGGCTGTCCATGCCAGGCGAGCTCTGTCTAGTGACGTCTGTCTCCAGCCCCGAAGTTCCCGGTTTATCATGAGATGTTTCAACAGGCTTTCCGGGTGCCCGCATAAAACCTAAGCCACTTACTAAGTCGCATAAACACACACACCCCACCACTCCACACAACTGTTACAATAAGTTTTGTTAAAAGCTTGTTCTTCCAACAGGAGCAGAGATCACAATCAGGCAGCACTGGGATCTGAGGATCCTGGTTCAAAACCAGCCTGGGCAGGAAAGTCCTTGAGCTTTTTTTTGTTGTTGGTCATGGGGCTTGAACTCTGGGCCTGGGCGCTGCCCCTGAGCTCTTCAGTTCAAGGCTGGTGCTCTACCACTTGAGCCACAGCGCCACTTCTGGTTTTCTGGTGGTTTACTGGAGATAAGACTCTCAGCCTTTCCTGCCTGGGCTGGCTTTGAACCGCGATCCTCAGATCTCAGCCTCCTGAGTAGTTAGGATTACAGGTGTGAGCCACCGGCGCGCTCGGCTTTCCTTGAGACTCATCTCCAGTAAACCTCCAGGAAACCAGAAGTGGCACTGTGTGTGGGCTCAGGGGGTAGAGCGCTCGCCTTGAGCTGAAGAGCTGAGGGACAGCGCCCAGGCCCCGAGTTCAAGCCCCACAACCAACAACGACAAAAAAAAAGGAAAGCAAAGTTCAACATGTAATTTTTTTCATAACTTTCCTGGGCATGAACTTCAAAAAGAACCTTTAAATCTGCCCATTCTCATTAATTTTGAGGAGCAGAAGTCCACAGACGGCGCGTGCTATCCATAGGAAGCACTAACGAGCATGAGCTATTAGGCTGACGCAGGATCCTTTTGGAAGAATACTTAATCCACTTGCAAATCATTTCACCAAAAGCCCGGGAGGCATTCTTGCTTCTGGAACAAATAAACTAAGTGGACGTGACAACGTACCTCTTACTGCGATCCCCATAAAGCTGTCCGGGGTTCCACAGGTTGGTGGGGCGGCATCGCCTTCCCCAGACTCTCGCCCTCATTCCAACTATGTATTCTGCAGACAACTACTTTTTTCGTTTTCTATTCTGGTCAGTCCTGTGGCTTGAACTCTGGGCCTGGGCGCTGTCCTCAGCTCTTCAGCTCAAGGCTGGTACTCAACCACTTGAGCCACAGCACAGCTTTTGGTTTTCTGGTGGTTCACTGAAGATAAGTCTCACGGACTTTTCTGCCCAAGCTGGCTTTGAACCGCGATCCTCAGATTCCAGCGTCCTGGATGACAGGCGGGAGCCCCTGGCACCCGGCTACAAGAACTTGAAAATGTAAAGTCTTGGGCTGGGAAGGTGGCTCAGTAGTAGAGCACTCACCTAGCATGCATGAAGCCCCGGGTTCAATTCCTTAGTACCACATCCACAGAAAAAGCTAGAAGTGGCGCTGTGGCTCAATGGGTACAGTGCTAGCCTTGAGTCCAGAGAGGCCTAGGGACAGTGCCCAGGTTCTGAGTTCAAGCTCCAGGACCGCCCCCCACAAATTAAAACTTTCCAGAATTTTCCATAAACCACTAAACGTCCAAAAAGCTAACTCACAATAAGCTTCCTTCCTGATGCCAATGAGACTGGTTTAAAACAAGTGTTTTGGGTTGTTTTTGGGGGGGGAGGGGAGGAACGCTCTACAAATACAAACACCCTGAGCTTGCTTGTCATAGAAGCTGTGAAGGGGATCGATCGCTCATGGGAAGAGTAGAGGGGGCCTGGCCACCCCACAGCACTGCTTGCAGTTTCTGCACGTGCAATCGCAGCTCGCGTGGTCGTTGGCTTTTTCCGGGCATCCTACTTGCTTGCATCCGGTCAGATGGCCGGGATCACTTTGTCCTGGCACCCTGGGTGCGGAGGGCTTTTTCGTGTGCCCAGACTTTTCCAGGGCAGCACGAATGCGGCTTGTCCTCCACCTCTCGCCTGTCGGGCATGGGACAGTTACTATCAGCGCACTTCACACGATTGTGCTGGAATGAAAGACCAGACAAAGCAGAAAAACACCACCACCGCAGCCAGCCCTGGCAGGGCTGGGGGGAGTGGGGGGGGGGCCCTGGCTGGGGGCTGGCACCACTCCGGGGTGGAAGATTGTGGAAGCCCAGCCTTTTCTAAGGTGCCCACCGGCTGGCCCTGGGGAGCGCGCAGACGGATGACAGCGCTTGGAAGGCGGGGCCGGGCCGGGGTGGGCTCGTGGGCCAGCCTTCCAACCAAGTCAAGCCCCGGCTTGCCCGGCGTGGAAGCCGCTCGCTGCCCAAGTCTACAGAGGACACGAGCCCCGTCTCCACGCTGGCTGGTGGAGCAGGACGGACGGACCGCGCTCACGGGTCCTGACCAAGCTGTAACCACTCCGCACCACCCCACGCCGGCCAGGGATAAATGCTCAGAGCAGCGAGCTCACCCCACCATGCACGCGCACACACACACACACCTTTCAGGCCTCAATGCCACGGTCTGTGTGAGCGCGATGCTTCCCACCGCGACCCTTCCGGGAGCAGCAACACCACGGGAGCCATGCCTGCCACCCGCGCTCACCCACGTGGGTAGAAGCGGGTGGGTAGATGCGGGTGGGGTGGGCCCAGGGATCTCTGCCCAGGCCCCAAATTGTTCCACGGTTCAACACATTTGTGGAGATCGCACCTCCTTGCTTCCCCGGGCACACACGCCACGCGTGTCACTGGCTTTGCTCTGCTCGTTCAAGTTGGACCCCTGGTCACCCGTTTCTACACAATAACCTTGCTGCTCAAAGTCAGCTCAAGATTTTGTTTTGGTCGGTCGTGGGGCTGAACTCTGGGTCTGGGCGCTGTCCCCCAGCTCTTCAGCTCAAGGCGGGCGCAGCCACTTGAGGAATGGACCCAGGCCTCATGCACGCAGACAGCGCTGCGCAGCGCCTTCCCAGCTCCACGTCACTGCCAACGTGGTTTGTTCTGCGCTCTTCTCTCGGGAGGGAGGTTGGAAGCGCCGTGCTGTGGCGTGTGTGGGGCTGGGGGGGATGTACCGTCGTCCGCTGCTTTGAAGGCTCCCGAAGCCCCTCGGCCCGCACCGACGCCGTTACGACCCGGCGGGCGCCCCGCGCGCCCCCTCCATTCGCCCGGGGCCCGGCTCGCCCGTGAGGACGTCCCACGGCCGACCCACGCACACGGCCCGACGCACACGGCCCGACCCACGCCGCAGCGGCAGCGCGGCGCGGCCGCATTCACCGGGTCTGGGGTGAAAAACACGGCCGCCGGCGGGTGCTGGGCGGCCGCGCAGAGCCCCGTGGGGCCCGCCCGTCCCCCGCCCCCAGCCTGGGGGCGGACGTCGGGGAGGGGGGCAGGCGTGGGGGAGGGGCGCAGACGTCGGGGGGGGGGGGGCAGACGTCGGTGGGGGCAGACGTCGGGGGGGGAGGCAGACGTCGGGGAGGGGGGCAGACGTCGGGGGGGGGGGGGCAGACGTCGGGGAGGGGGACAGACGTGGGGGGGGGAGGCAGACGTCGGGGGGGGGGGGACAGACGTCGGGGAGGGCGCAGACCGTGTGGCCGAGGCCCGCTCGGCAGACAAAGCGCCCGAGACAGGGGGGGGTGACGGGGCCGGCGGCGCTCTTCGAAGGGCGGGGTGCGAGGGCCGCCCAGCGCCCCCACTCCTCCCCCCACCCCGACCCGTGACCCGCGCCCCCGACCCAGAAACAAGTTTTTGCGCTGTGCGCTGTGTTGTGCGCTGTGCTGTGCGCTGTGCTGTGCGCTGTGCTGTGCGCTGTGCTGTGCGCTGTGCTGTGCGCTGTGCTGTGCGCTGTGCTGTGCGCTGTGCTGTGCGCTGTGTTGTGCGCTGTGTTGTGCGCTGTGTTTCGCGCTGTGTTTCGCGCTGTGTTTTGTGTTGGCTGTTGTCATTGGCTCTTTAAAAAAAAAAAAGGCTGAAAAGTTGCTCTGGACCCGAAACTCACCGCAGAGCCCCGACATCCGCAGCGGCTCACCCCCAAACCACGCGCAAGCCAGGCCCTCTCCGCGGCGCCCCCAACACGGCGAGCGAGGCGCCCCCGCACCCCCATGGGAAATGGGGGGGATCCCGGGAACTCCGCACCCCCCTCGCCGACTCCCTTGCACACGTACACACACACACGCTAGGGCAGATGGGAACTTCAGAGGTGCCGTCCCCCCCACCCACCCACCCCCCAAAAACTAACACCACCTCACGATCCCAAAGGCAGAGGCGACCCCACCCCCCACACACACCCCTTCACCCCCCCAAAACAAACACACACGCACACGCACAGACACCCCGACCCCCGCGCCGGGCCTCGGCCCGGGAGCCCCGCACGGCGCTCCCCCGCCCCCACCCCGGCCAACATCCGGGTACTTCGGGCGACCCCCCCCACGCACACACCCTCGGCGGCGGCGGCGGCGGCGGCGCCCCCTCCCCAGGCCCGCCCTCCCCGCCGGCCCCGCGGCGCCGCGGCCCGGCCCAGACCCCGCCCTCGAGTCCCGGGCGTCGCCCGCCCGTCCCCCCCGACGCCGCCGCGGGGCTTCCGAGCGCGCCCGCGCCCCCGCCCGGCCTCCCCCGCGGCCTCCCGCCGCGCTCGGGGTGGGGGAAGCCGGGGAGCCCCCCCCCACGCCGCCCCGAGTTACCTCCGGGGGAAGCCGGGCGGTCCGCGGCCTGGCGCCGGGAGCAGCGGGGAGGGAGCGGGGACGGGGACGGGGGGAGGAGGGGGAAGGACGCGGCGTGGAGCTCGGTGCTGTCCGGGAGGCCCGCGGGGGCCCGTCTCCGCCTCCCCTTTCCCGGAGCGTCCTCAGAGGCGGCCTGGAGAGCGGGCGAAAGGCGGGCCGCCGACACAACCGGGAGACTCAAAATGGCGCCGCGCAAGGAGACCGCTTATAAACGGTGCGCGGTGCCCGCCGTCTCCTTCCGCCGGGGCGCGCGGCGCCGGCGCGACGCGAAACGCTCCGCCGCGCGAAACCCGAGGGGGGGTGGAGCGAGGCGGAGGGAGGGGAAAAGTAGTCCCCGCGCTCCGCCAGGAGGCGGGGCCGAGAGGACAGAGAAAGTAGTCCACGCTCCCCCACAGGCCGCGGAGCGTGAGGGGGCGTGGCCGGGGGCGGGGCGTGGGGCGGGGCTTCGCGGGGCGGGGCGGGGCCTGGGGTTCGGAGCGCGCGTCCCTCCGCTGGCTCTCCAGGTGGAGCCGGGGGACGCGGGGTGGGGGGGGGGGTCCTGGGATGAACTGCAGGGAGGGCGGTATCACCGGGTTCACCCCTGTCCCCCCCCAAGTCTGCACGCCCCGTCTTGCAGACCCCGCCCACCGTCCGCCTCCTCTTCCATCTCCGCCCCGGCTGCACCGGGCCTGGGTCGGGTCCTGCCAGGTCTGAAGTTCGAATCCCGGGCGCGGCGGGGGAGCTGCGGGGACGCTGCAGGGTGGCGCTGCGGGGTGGGTGATGGGTGGTGCGGGCAGTGCAGGTGCAGGGGGACGCGGGACGCGGGGCCCAGGGTGAGGCTGGAGGCGAGGACCTGGACCCCCGGCACCAACCAGAAAGGGGGCGCGCCACGCCCCTCCCCGGCCTGCCATGACCCCGCCCTCCCCTCACCCCGGCCTGCCATGACCCCGCCCTCCCCTCACCCCGGCCTGCCATGACCCCGCCCTCCCCTCACCCCGGCCTGCCATGACCCCGCCCTCCCCTCACACCTGCAGTGTGATGACCCCGCCCTCCCCTCACACCTGCAGTGTGATGACCCCGCCCTCCCCTCACACCTGCAGTGTGATGACCTTCCCTTCCCCTCACACCTGCAGTGTGATGACCCTCCCTTCCCCTCACACCTGCAGTGTGATGACCCTCCCTTCCCCTCACACCTGCATAATGATGACCCCGCCCTCCCCTCACACCTGCAGTGTGATGACCCTCCCTTCCCCTCACACCTGCAGTGTGATGACCCCGCCCTCCCCTCACCCCTGCCTGCCATGACCCCGCCCTCCCCACGCCCCTGCCTGCCATGACCCCGCCCTCCCCTCACACCTGCAGTGTGATGACCCTCCCTTCCCCTCACACCTGCATAATGATGACCCTCTCCTCCCCTCACACCTGCAGTGTGATGACCCTCCCTTCCCCTCACACCTGCAGTGTGATGACCCTCCCTTCCCCTCACACCTGCAGTGTGATGACCCCGCCCTACCCTCACACCTGCAGTGTGATGACCCCGCCCTCCCCTCACACCTGCAGTGTGATGACCCTCCCTTCCCCTCACACCTGCAGCGTGATGACCCTCTCCTCCCCTCACACCTACAGTATGATGACCCTGCCCTCCCCTCACACCTAGTGTATCATACAGTCTATACAACTACATTACATAGTGTGTATATTATATAATTAGTGTATGATAGTGTATTATATGTAGTATAATATGTGTACTATAATTTCACATATTATATAGTTATATATATCACATAGTTGTGTATAACTATATAATAATATATTTTCTTCATTAATAAATGCCATATAATAACATGTAATACTAGTTATATGCTATATATTATCTTACACCATTATAACTGCATAATAATATCTACTACATATAGCTACATATAAGTGTATAAATCATTATCTATTATACAGATATATAGAATATTTATAGTATGTTCTACATTCTATGTAACTAGCACTATATATATAGTATATATATATATATATATATATATATATATATATATACACCATATACACTATATGTATCTTTGTTGTTGTTGTTGTCAGTTCTGGGGCTTGAACTCACATCCTGGGTGCTTGGAGCTTTTCTTGCTCAGGGCTGAGGCTTTGCTCCACTTCTGGCTTTGTGTTTTGTTTGTTTCTTTGTTTGCCTGGTGGCTCACTGGCGATCAGAGTCTCAGTGACTTTTCCTACCCAGACTGGCCTCCATGGGTGATCCTTTAGATCTCAGCCTCCTGAGTCACTAGGCTGACAGGCGTGAGCCCCCTGTACCATTCCAGCAGGGAACATTTTATTCTATTCTAGTTATTTATTTAACAATACACTGACATTGGGGAAGGGACGTCAGTCTAAATCCAGCCAAGACCTGAGCCCCCAGAGCCGAGGCCCTGAGTTCAAGCCCCAAGACCGACATGAATACATATAAATAAAAGGATTAATATAAATATTATACACAGAAGTAGAAATAAATGCCTGACGTCCTTACAATGGATTTGCTTTTCTCCAGTCTGTTATTTTGTGCTTTCTTTTTTTTTTTTTTCCTTCTAAAACAATGGAGGATACCAAAAAAAGAAAGAAAAAAGAAAAAAGCCACAGTGCAAATTGACAGATTTTTTTTTTTCTTTTGTGAACACCAAGACTCCACACCATACACGCAAACCACGGATCTTTGCTTATACACAACAGCCCTGTCAGGAAATCTCAGTCGCTCACTCCTGGAGATTTGTTATGGCCTGTGGTGTTTCATTTTCATTTCTTCATTTATCTATGGATGCATTGATTTGGGGCCTAGCCTCCCTCCTCAAGGTACAGCCTACCTTTAGGACCAACCAACATAGTGTGGTGGTTGTTGGTGTTTTTAAAGGACTTTTCTTTTCCTGCCTGAGATGTGTCACTATAGAAAAACTGCTGTTATCAGCTCTGGAGAGCAAAAAATCCAATCACAGATTACACAGGGGTGTCCGGCCCGTTCCATTGTCTCATTTCTGTCCTTGTGAGAAACTTGTTAAAAAAAAAAAAAAAAGAAGAAAGAAAGAAAGAAAAGAAAAAGTACTGGGCCGGATTTGGACAGATGGAAAAGGGGGAGACGGAAAGAAAAAAGAAATAGAAAAGTGTGTCACCCAAACAGGATTTCCACCATCCACATAATGTCGCTGCGGCGTGAAAGAAAACATCGTTGGCCCGATTAAAACCAAGCATTTGAAAAAAAAAAAAATATGTATCGAATGGTTGATTTAAAACCGTTATCTAAATATATATAGTATATAATATATTAAATATTAAATATATATTTAGTATAAATATATATTAAATATATTTATATATTAAATATATATTATTTGATATATTTATATGAATATATAAATATATATATGTTTAAAGCAATTTAAAAGCTCTTTAAGATATTTAGATTTCTATATTTAAAATGTATATTTCTATATTTAAAATATTTTTTTTCTGGGTTCAGTTCATCTCTGTGGAAGGAGAATTTCACCATGAACATGATTAAAAATCAGGTTCAGAGCTAAAAGACAAAGGGGAAAAAAAAAAAAAGAGAAAGAATCCTTTAAAAAAAAAAAAGTGTGTACTTCCTGGATGTAGATGTCCAAATAATGCGCTTTTTAAAAATTAATTAATTGATTGATTTTAGAGGTTGGCTTTCTTTGCTATTATTTTATTCGGGGGTCGGCTTCTCTGCAGCAATGGGGTGTTGTGGAGATGCTTCTGTCTCTCCAACACACACAAGGAACGCACTTTGCACAAATTCACCCCTTCTCCAGCTTTGGGTGTTTTGTAATCCTAACTCACAATTTAAATGTCCACCACCACCACCACACCTCAATGATAGCTAAAGCAGAAAGCCATGTCATGCACGGTCCCCCGGACAGGTTGTCTCTCTAAAGCAAACTTCTTTTATTCTATTTATTCTATTTATTCTCACCAAACAAGAAGTATGCTAAAAAGCATTATGGGTGAAATTACATTTAGTGGTGAATTTAGTTGAATTTTTGGTGGTGGTTGCAGTTTGTCTCTCTCAGACAATAAATGGCTTCAATTGTCTCATTAAAAAAAAAAAAATAGACCATGAAGCTGAACAAATACAGCATCTAAAAAATAACCTAATGAATATAATAAATTGTCACTGGTCAGTAATTTGAAAAAAAAAAAAAAAAAGAAAAGAAAAAGAAAGAAAGAATAAAAAAAAGAAAGAAATGACTACACAATTTGACAAAACATTTCCTTACAGGAATATAGAGGATTCTAATCAGAATGAACTCCAAGAGATGAAATCAACAACAAAAAATATATATTATATAGTTATATATGATATTATACACGAATAATAAATTATATATATATATACAATCATTTTTATTTTTCCTTCACCTTTCCTAAAATCTACCCAATGGGTTTGACATGAATTAACCCATTCCATGCAGAGCTGACAAACCGTTCAAAGAAACATCAGGGCGATGTTTCTGGAAACCAAACTCCAAGCTAATTTTTTTTTCCTTTTTCCTCTCCCTAAACTAGCTGCATAGAGCAAAGCCGGCCAGGCTCAATGGCGGGCCTGTGGGTTTACCCAGCCAGCGTTGGCAATCTAGGTGTGGGTTTTGTTTTAGGGTGATGTTTGGGTTTTTTTTTTTTTGGGGGGGTGGTGGTTGGTCTGCTTTCCCACTGGCAAAATCCTGTGTCCTTTAAAACAAAGAAAAAATAAATGCGTGCAGATCCAGGACCAATGAAGGAGATGGGATTGTTATTATTATTATTATTAATATTAATATCACTATTATCATTATTATTATTTTGGAGAGAGAATTGTTTTTTATTCCATCCCTTCTTCATCTATTAAAAAATTAAAAAGCATTATCACTGTGAGCCACAGAGTCCCAGGTGAAAATAAGAAGAGAAAAAGAAATATATATATATATATATATATATATACACACCTGTCCATATGCATATACAAACCCAAGTCTATACCTACATATCAGAATATATACGTTCACAGTGTCCAACCAGGGTGTGTCGGCCCTGGCTTCCCCTCATTAGAGAGAAAAATGAGCATGATCCCTCTCCAGGCCGCCATCTTTGCGCTGCAAACACCAGGCCAAGACCCCAGAAGATCATAGTGAATGGCAGAGGTCAGGCTGCC